CGATCAAGTACAAACTAATATCTTATCTTAAGGTTTAGTGATTATGTGCATTTAAAACCAATTATATTCTTTTAATAAAACTTCATTTTATTGTTAATACTTGGAGTTTTGATGAGTTTTAAAATCATTATTTTAAATCTCCTTTTAGTAATCAAATTTTTTTTGATGTGATGAATTTGTAGAATATAACTCATTTTTAACATCTTATGTTTAACAATCATATTTTGAGAAACCAAAACCATGTGATGGTAATTATGTTCTAAATCATATACAGTATGCATAAACATAATATCATCATAACGAGTTATGTTTCAAAACACAATATCATATATATATATATATATATATATAATATATATATATATATATATATATATATATATATATATATATAGTGTTGACATAAAAATAATATCTAATATTATTGCTTTACATAATAAAGTTGTAAATCAAATTTTAGTATTTTTAATAAAACATTCTTTCATTATAAAATACATGGAGTTTAGATTTACTTTAAAACATATTTTAAACCATTTTCAACTTTTCAATTATTAAGACTTTTACAATAAAAAATTTCAATTTTAAACATTTAAAAAATACTTTTTAAAAAAAAACCTCATTTTTAAACATCTCACCTTATACTCAAAATATTTAATTCTCAAACTCCAAGTTATGTTAATTTATGATAAAATATTATTTATAATGCAAAAATCCTTTTAATACACATAGCATTAACATAAAATAAATATCATAAGCATGGATCAAATGATGTATAAACCAAGTCATTTACAAGTAATAATTTTTGTGAACTGGCACAATAATTATTAAGTCATTCATATAGAGTTTAAGTGAGATTTCAAAAAGTCTTCTAGTCCCCACTTGCCAAAACAACTCTTGCTAGCAAAAAAGACTTCAAGACTCCATGTGTTGTGATGACATTAGACTTACACCATTAAGACCATAATTAAGTATACAAACTCAAGTTAGGATTACTCATAAGTGGTTAAAACATGGAACAATCTTCCAAACTTGGTAATATCTTCATCTTGTTATATTTGTAAAAAAGAATAAAACCAGTCTAAACAAAATTATTACATACAATTAAACAAATGAAGAATAACCTATTTATCAAATACATCTTTATGAATAAATAAATAACAACCAAAACAACAGAAGCATCCTAATGACTTGTTTATACACAATATCATCATAAGAACAAACAAACAAACACTTGGTTTTTCTAAGGCAACTTTATGCAACCAAAATGCATGAAAAAATTGCTAGCATAAAATAACAATTATAAAACAACAAGTTTCCATAGAAAATATATTTGGTCATTTCTTTTCCAAAAGAAATACCAAGCATATTTTCCAAAACAAAAGGTTATCAAACATAATAATAAATATGTTAACATGTAAAAGAGGCTCTGATACCACTGATAGTTTTTTATACCTCAAAATGATACTTTTCTTATTACGGAAAATAGAAGCGACTTTAAAATAACCATTATTTTAAGACCATTTTAAAACAAACCCTGTGATACATTTACATGAGTTAGAAATATTATAAACACCGATAGGATGTTTAGATGGAAAGCTTTGAAAACTTTCATCCAACTTGGCAATTGGGGAGTTGATGAAGATGGAAAAAGACAAAAAAAAAACTTCATCTTGTCTAAAGGTATCACCAACATGTATGTGTCACTAAGAATGTTAGTTCTCTTCTTGCATTAAGTACTTTTTAAGCCTTTAAGAACTAAACACCATTTTCTCTTAAGGGACAACCACTTAAGAACTTACTATCTTCACTACAGTTTAAAATATAGAAATAAGATATATATATATATATATATATATATATATATATATATATATATATATATATATAATATATATATATATATATATATATATATATATATATATATAGAGAGAGAGAGAGAGAGAGAGAGAGAGAGAGACGGGGGGGGGGGGGGGGGGTTAGGGAGCTCTTGGGTTTGAGGAAGAAAATAAATAAGCAATCCTAAAATGAAATCCTCTAACTCTCTTATATTCACAAACATATAGGTCTTAAAGGACGATCTTCTATTTAATGCAAATTGATAACTTTATAAGGAACATGTCTTGTGTAATAGGGAAGTTAACAACCAACCTACCATAGCTCATTGAATCTCATTGATTTGATAGGAGAGAAGGGAGGAGTGAAGTGTCTAACACTTTAAGCGTTAACTCTCATTTGTACAACATTTATCTAGTGAGCTTATAAATGTCCAAAATAATGTACACACCATATTAAATCATACTATATGATTTAATAACAAGTTATAGTCTCTAAAATATTTATTTCAAAAAATAACAATTTCTACAAAATTAAATACAAGAGTTGAATGTATTTATTAATAATAAAATTCTTAATAAATATTGAATACATGATAACTTGCTAAAGGTGTGACCCTGTAGGATTATATGTTATTGGAAATCATCATTATAAAATGATAATTGAGCATATAGACCGAACATTTATTTGTAGAGATGTGACCTTTGATGAATCTTATATGTATAACCAGAGAGGAGGTGGTACAAGTGTCGTAGGGAATGATTGGGGTCTTAGCTAGAAGGTGGATTTGGCAAAAGAAACCCCACACTGTTTTGTCAAGAACATCATAGACGTGAGGAATCCCGTGTACAACCTATGGAAGAAGGGTCTAGAGATGGTGATGTCGAAAAAGATAACTTAAAGGAGTTTAAGAAGAATGAGTTTGTGATGAAGGATTTAGGAGCTAAAAAGAAGATATAATGGACTAAGATTTAAAGGGGTAGAAGAGCGGTATGGTTATACATTTCTCACTACATTGAGAAAGTCTTTCAGTCATTCTATTTTGACCACTGCAAACCTATTGGTACTCCTTTGGTAGTTCAATATAATCTTAGGAAAGTTTATTGGGAAGTGGTCAAGTGTATCTTGCAACACTTGAAGGATCCATTTGATGTTTGTATGGTGTATCATGTTAACACTCGACATACTGACTTGGCTAGATTAGTAGACTCAGACCATGATGGTGATTTGGTGATAAGAAGATCAGTGGTGTATGGCCTCGTTCAAAGTATTGGTTTGAAATTGGAGAAACCTATCATGTCTTGTGATAGGTTTTACATTTGAAATGATTGAAATCAAGGATAATCTAGACGACATGTTTACAAGGTTGATTCCTAGATTGAAGTTCAAGCTTTGTTTAAACTTGGTTGAATTTCGTAGGTGTTAAGTCCCCTTGGGGAAAGATAGCGGGATGAGAAAGGAAGTTTTAGGTTTTTGGAGTTATTCAGAAAATGCTCAAGTAGAGATGGAGATTGTTAAATGTGACTTGAGAGTTGAAGACCTGAAATGAGAGTTGGACCATTTGACAATTCGATTGAGTATCTAGAAATTAAATGGATCATCTAGATATTTAATGGCGCATCTTGAAATCGAATGGAGCATCTTTTTTTTAATGGGGCATCTAGAATTGAATGGAGCATCTAGAATTTAATGAGCATCTAGAAATTAAAAGGAGCATCTAGATATTCAATGGGGTATTCAGAAATTTAATGAAGCATCTAGAAATTTAATGTAGCATCTAGATGGAGCATTTGACGTTAGGATAGAGCATCTGACATATCACTAGAGCATTAGAAGAAGCACCGTGTACATGATGCGCCACTAAGTGACAATGTGCACCGCCAAAGGCACAAGGTGCTCCATTCTTGGTCAAGGTGTGCCACCTTGTGGTCATGATGCACCACTTTGGTGACCCTGATGAGTTTCTTAGTGTTGATATGCTGTATATGTACTACCGGAAGGATGGTGCTCCACCAACAGGCTTAGTGTGCCATCATGACACATAAGTCGTCATTGGTGTCACGTGTTGCGTCATTGGCTTGGATGAGGTACCCCTCTAGCTGTGAGGTACGCTAAGGTGTTGAAGGAAGTCCGAAGTTGTTCGAAAGTTTAAGGTGCTCAAGGTGGATGCCCCATGGAGAATGATGCACTCTTGTGGCATCATGGTGCACTCCATGGGAATGGCTGGAGCTCATGTATTGTCTCTCAAGGTTGAAGGTTCTTGAAGAAGTTGTATGAAAGATTGTGTTTGATTGACACCTTTCATGGAATTATGGATTAATGGACTTGGCCCATTAGGGTTTTTGGTATGATCCCTAGTTTGTAAATATGGATGTCTACTAAGTCATTTATTGGTATCTTTGTATCTTGAATACTTAGTGAGTAGGCCGATCTTTATTAAGTTGTACTTGTAATCTTTATTTGAGAACTCTTGAATAAGAATACTCCCTCTTGCCCTTGGATGTAGGTAACCTTGATCGCACTACATAAATAATGTGTCTTTGTGTGTGTACTTTCATGAATTATCCTCTTTACTTACTAACAACTATTATTAGAGTTTGGCAAGTGGCATACGATATGTTATGGTTCTTCTATTCAAGTATTAATTATTAAAGTATTATCTAATTTCATTCATTCAAATAAGGTATTATCTAATTTCATGCATTCAAATAAGAAAGAATATTTGATTCTCCGAGTGGATGATATTTTAAATTATTAAAGTATAAAAAACGGATCATATTTTTAAGTATTAAAGTCTGCACTGCATTATGTTTGCTCAGTGAATGTAAACCCAAAAACTTAAAGCAACATTTTTTAGATTATAATGACTAAAGTTTATTTATTTTAGATAATAATGACTATAGTTTACTTGTTTTTATATTATAATTGCTAACATAGTTATGGTATTTGCATATTTAATTTACTATTAACTTGTCGCTAAACATGAAATAACGAACACTATTTCATTGCTATCGCTACATAGCATATATGTAGTTCATCGCTACTATCCCCTATTCACTATTGAAAAATATGTATCCATGTAATTCATAAATTTACACAATATGATTAAACAAACCAAATTTATACATAAATAAATGAAAATGTAAAAACAACTCATTTTTGTGTTAGTGTTTCACACATTCCAAACATTTTGTGAATATGGGTGTACAAGGGATTGAAACACCGAAATTACATTAATTACGCATCACTTTTACCAATACTAGACCTCAAATGCTTTAGTTACACCTTACACTTCTCAATTACTAGATATCACATCGAATGAATTTTAAACAATAAAGTTTTGTGTGTTGCTACATTATGCAAATATGAAATACATAACAAAGATATGTATACAAGTTTACTATTGTTTCGTGAATCATCATTGATTATTCAGGGTTTTTTCAAGTGATATTGAGTTATAATTTTCATGCAAAATTTGTGGGAAGTGCAGCAAAAGCAAGATGCTAGAGAGGCGTTACAGAGATATGGTAAAAATTTTGTTGCTGCTAAGCCGCTTACCAATCAGGTCAATAATCTTATTTGACACCCTTTCTTTCACTATTTAGAACATTTCCACAAACGCTTGGGATCTTCATCGAAGCATACCCCCTATAAAAAAAATTAATCACTCATCTATGATGTCTTTAGTTTATCAATATGTTTGGACAGCTAAACCAGTTTTCGATAAAAAAAACTTTTGGCTTAGCACTATTCAGGTGTGTTAGAAATGTGTCCCCCCTTAAGTGGCTGAAGGTTTAAGTCCAGTCGTGGACAAAAATGTGTATAATTAGGAGCATGATTAGATGACTGTGTCTTATCCGTTGTAAAAAGAAAGAAAAAAAAGATCAATCTGTTTGGACTTGATGCTTTTTATGCTAAATCTAAATACAAAAATAAACAAAGTATGTCAAAACTTATGTTTTAGATGTGCTTGCTAATTTTTTCTTCATTCCAAATCCTCAAAATGGTTGAATATGTTCGCTTTAAAATGGGCATGTCAATGCGGTAAAGCATCTCAAAATGTTAAGAAAAAGTGCTACATTTTGTTTATTTTATTTATGATTTTGTTCGGTGCAAGTTTTAATTTGAATACACCTACAAGGTTGCAACGGCTGCTAAAAAACATAATGAAATTTTGACTTTATTTAAACGATCGATCACCATCTAGATACGATTATGGGGTTTTTATTGATAACGGATTTTATAGTTTTTATCTTTTTGAAATGTTAGTTTAATGTTGCAATTTGGAAGAAAAAATTTATTTTCACTATTTTGTATTAATCATCACCACATAATAAAAGTCTAAACAAATAACATTTGTTTTTATAAGTATCTGAAAATAGAGTTTGGTGTTAAGATATATACAAAGTGGGTAGTAACAGTTCGAAAATGTCAAGAACAAGAACCGATTCCATCTGCTCCGATTCAAGAATTGCTGATTTTGCATTAGGTCTTCCAAAAATAGGTAACCGATTTCAACGTTCAGCCCTAATAACATGGCGTCCACTAATTTTCTATCTAAGTCACTTATATTTTAGTTTCACTCAATGGGAAAACAAAGTATTTTCCGTACATTTTTAAGTCATCGTAATTGATTTCAACCATTTAACATGTACTAGTCCTATTCCTACGAGACATCCGATATGGCTAAATTTGTCACATTCTTGTGTACCCCAACTATCTAATGTTCTCTCTCATCCACAAATACTTAATGTGTACTCCCTAAGTATTTAATATTTCCTTTAGTCAACCTGTGTGAGTGTATGTATTTTTTCTTTGCAATCCATGAATTTACAAAATATGATTAAAGAAACCAAATTTGTACATAAATGAAAATGTCGAATCAGTTCATTTTCATGTTAGTGTTTTACATTCGAAATATTTTGAGAATTTGGGTGTCCTAAGGATTGTAACACCTAAACTACATTAATCACGACATCACTCTTATCAATCACTAGATCTTAAATGCATTAGTTATGCCTAATTTACATCTAAACAACAAAGTTTTGTGTCCCACTACATCGTGCAGGTACTTAAGTACTTCAGTTTTGTTTACTTTTGTTTCAAGAATCATTAATATTTGTGATTAAGGTTTTTTATTTTTGAGGGATGTGGAGTTATAATTTGCATGCGAATGTGTGGGTGCAGCAAAAGCTGGATGTTGAAAAGGCGTTAAAGAGACATGGGAAAAATTTTGTTGTTGTAGAGGAACCTTATCAACGGCCACGTTACTTTCCTAACCTCCCCAAAGTTGCTGCTATGCCTCGTACCAATCAGGTCAATAATCTTATTTTACGCACCTTCTTTAACTCTTTGGGACATTTCCACAAAGACTTGGGATCCACATCGAAGCAACCCCCGATGAACAATTAATCACTTAAATCTATGATGTATCTTTAGTTTATCAATCTATTTGGACAAAAAGGCTTTTGTGTTAGCAATATCCAGTTGTCATGTGAAGGAAGTGGTCGAGTGTGCAACTCATGTGGTGGACAAAAAGGTGTATAATTATGAGCATGATTAGATGAATCTGTGTGTCTTAACTTTTAAAAAAAATCATAGTGTTTGGACTTGATGCTTTCCATGTTAAAACTAAATACAAAAATAAACAAAGTATATATTTGAAAATACAAAATCATATTATACATAAATAACTACCTATATTATAATAGTTTTCACCATAGATTGTCGTATATATTAATTAATGTATATCTAATTTAATGGCCTATGTACATATATTAAAAAAAGAAAAACATCAGATTCATATCCTTATCATTATCATGTGTTTTGAGTAAAATTAGGCATACCACAAAGCAAATTATTTTATGTAGATAAAGGACCTTTATATTGCTATATATAACCAACTTTCAATTTTCACCAAGTCAGGTTGTGAGTAAAAGGTCCAAGACCAAGTACAAAAATATTTAGACCGGATGGACAAGCTCGATGTGGGTTTCATTTACTGACATCATAAAAATACCAGTTTGACTAAATGCAAGAAGTAGGTTTCATTCTTTTACTTAGTAAGGAGTTGTACTTTTAAAAAATCTAATAAATTTGAACATTATACTTACAGTTTTTTCTCATCAAGACGATTTTTAACATATATATCGATTAATACCAAAAGAGTTGCTTTATATGCTATTGACATTGATATATTGGTTGGATTCTTTAAACATTGCTATTTCTTTCTGTTAACTGTACTCTTAAAACAGCGTCTCCACCTAAAAACTGTTTTGGGTATAGTTGATGGCTTCTTCCATGTAGAAACTGTTTTGTAACATGTATAAAAACTTTAACTTAACCGGTATATATATATATATATATATATATATATATATATATATATATATATATATATATATATATATATATATATATATATATATATATAAAAGTTGTGTGAGACTTGTTGAATATTAATTATTTTAGATTATGTTCCAATGAATCAGCCGAAAGACCTCAAAATACCCTTCCATGTGATAAAAGATTGTACACAAGAGTTCAACGAAAAAAATTTCATCGCGAAGGGTGGTTACGGAAGGGTCTATAAGGGAATCCTCACCTGGGCAGATCATGTAAACCAACTCGTTGCTGTAAAACGGCTAGATGTCTCCGGATTTCAAGGCAGCAAGGAGTTCCGAACAGAGGTTACAATGCTTTCAGAGTATCAACACAAAAACATCATAAAACTTATCGGATTTTGTGATGATAACAAGGAGATGATCCTTGTTTACGAATATGCAAGCCATGGAAGCCTTGACAAATATTTAAGTGACACTAGAATGTCGGGTGGGCTATCTTGGTCACAACTCCATAAAATATGTATTGGTGTTGCTTATGCGTTGGACTATCTTCATAACCACGTGGCTGAGAAACACAGAATAATACATCGTGATGTGAAAAGTGCGAATGTGTTATTGGATGAGAATTGGAATGCAAAACTTTCGGATTTTGGTTTGGCTAGAATAGGTTTAGCAAATCAACTTAACACCTTTGTGATCACTAACCCTGCTGGCACATATGGTTATACTGACCCACAATACATAAGAACAGGGTTTTTAACAAAAGAGTCGGATATTTATTCGTTTGGTGTGGTTTTGTTTGAAGTTTTGTGTGGAAGGTTGGCGTGTGTTTCCAGTTACCATGATGAGTGGCGATTCCTACATCATTTGGCTCGAACCTGCTACAAAAATGGAGAGTTGGATAAGATTATTGATCAAAGAATAAAGAAAGATATCAATTCAGGAACATTAAGCATGTTTTCAGCTATTGCATATCAATGCTTACAAGAAACTCGGGAGGAACGACCTAAAATTGCTGAGGTTGCATTCCAACTTAAGGAAGCGTATAAAATCAAAGTATGTTTGAATATTGTTTTTATCAATTAGTGCAATATGGACATCTTTTTAGGGAAAAATAAGGATGTCTACATAAAAGTATATGGGTTGCTGACACAACATTTTTTTTTGTTGATCAGCATTAGTTTACACAAGTTTTCAAGATAAGAAGATGAAACCATCCTCGGTCGATTCACAAAAATGAATCTTTGGTGAGTCTTTATAATCAAGGGAGACATGGATGGATTAAATCTAAAGTAAAACTTCGGTTTTATGGTTGTCTATGGACTGTATATTTGAATAATCGTCTTACAATTACAATTAAAATTGTAAAAAAAAAAAATTAATGCAACCACCTGTATCTGGATACGAATAAATGACTATAAGTCACATATCTTATGTGCAAAATTGTAATATACCCAACCATATTGTCACCTATAAAAGGAGGAATAAGGCAAAGCCGACAAGTAGTGGAATGGAAAATGACGTGGACACAATTTGGAACCATATGGGATGACCAAGGGCAGAATAGGGATTAGCCCCAGAATAATCTCTATTTAGGTAAGTGGCGTATCCATGTTGAGAGGGAGCCGATTATTGTGAGAACATTCCCGTGGAGAGTGATCGCTTCTCAAAGTGCTATTCCATATCTTGTAATTTTAGTATTTCAATCAAGCAATCATATTCTGGTTATCTTCGTGAATTCTTATCATCTTACTGTTTGTTGGGAGTTACCTATTTGTGGGTTTAAATGCATAACACAAATTTGACTGTAGAGGCATTCTTGTTTATTTTCTACTGCCCTCCAATGTTGTTAAAATTATTGTAGGCTATCACCTAGGTGGCACTGAGGTGCTAAGCCGGAGGTCTAATGACTTGCAAAATGAAGATTGGGCATAAAGTTCGGTCAGGCTAAATATCGGTCAAAAGTTGGTAGCAATCTACTATTTGAAATATTTATTTTAGTTTTTTTTTAAATTATTAAACATTTTATGGTGATGAGGAGTGAAGACTTTAAAGTAGTTTAACACATGAACAAGTTTTACTTTGAGATTGTTATGCACTTATGTTTCATTAATTGGCTAGATTCTTCAAATTTTAATGTGGTAATATAAGAAAATAGAAGTAAGATGCTATAATAATCAAATCAATTAAAGTACATTGCTATTTCTTGTAATTGAAGGATAAATAAGAGCACATGTGTTCATTAATCATTAGTATTGGTAAGAAAAGAATGTTAAAATCTAAAAGAAAAGAAGATATAACATGAAATGAAGATATATTTTAGATTTAATTTTTTTTCCATATGTATCTTGTGAATCTTGTGTGAATCGGGTAACTATTTTAATCACTTTGTAGCCACAAGAATATTGTATTAGACATTTAGATGATTAGTATCACAACAAAAAAAAGAGAAAACATAGATAAGTGTGGCCTCACTTCCACCAAAAGCCGACAACCAATAGTTTATGCATTTCGTACTCATTCCTTCTTCACTATTTGTTAAGATGTTTTCAAATTACGCAATGCTTAATGACAAGCAGCTAGAAATCAAAAGATAAAATAGATAATGATAATAAAAGTACTTATTGATGAAGTTCTTATTCTTTTTTCCGTGAACCCTTCATAACAAAAAAATAAATAATACATAAAAAAACAAACAAACAGAACAAAACCATTTTTATTTTATGAATCTATTCGCAAAGACAGAACCTCGTGGTGGCGTAAAGGATGCTCATCATCATTCATATTCATGTCACCCTTGATGAAGACAATTTATCTAATACCCTGTGAGCATACCACTATTTAAAAAAGAGCATTACCGACGGCAAAACCGTCGGTAATTGTTTTTACTGAGGGAATTGCAACAGACCAAAATCCGTCGGTATATTCTTGTTGCCAATTGTTTGTAACGGATTTTCGACGGCTAAGATAAATTTTATTGATGGATTTTTCCGTTGTTATTAGTAACCGATCACCCACATTAATATTTTTTGCAACGAACTATCGACGGTATCCGCATAATCACTAACAGATTACCGACATATTTTATGTCGTGACAGCTTAGCGATGGATTTTGGCATTATAAAAAATTAAAATGTTCATGAAAAAATTAAAAATAATTACATATTCAACAAGGAAAATTTGTCATGCTTGTATTGCTTCAAAAGTTTACTCATTTGTCCAAGAAAACGACTTTCTATCTCCTCTTGTAACTTTACATCTCTATCAAGACGGGCTTGTATTTCCTCTTGTTCCTTCACTTCCCGTTCCATCATGCTCTCTAATTCATTTACCTAAAATATGTTCCAACAAACATATATAACTAATATAAAATAGAGATGGAAACAAGAACATATTAACCCTTCATTAAACCAATATATATAATAAGAACATACTTAACTATGTTTTACCACAATATAGTGAATGCATCCATAATGGAAACATAATTTAACTAATAACAAATTTAAATCTTCTACATATTAATAATGAACTTTGCCTTTTTTACCAATATAGTCAGTGTACATACATTTTTATAAGAACATACTATATACACACATTTTGTACCTAATAGTAACTTACTTTACTATTTTTATCATAATATCAATATACTTAATTTTTTATTGATGAAAACACAATAAGTAAATCAATATACCTTCTTTTGAGATAATGCGTAATCATGGGAGGATGAGTCACAGTCGTAAGGTGTCCCCAACATAATGTAGCCCGGATCTGATGATCCTACCCCGTAAACTCAACTCTTTTTTCTCTGCCACCAAAATGCTCCCATATTTCAGCATTAGGTGATGCTGACTAGGGTCGGGGCCATATTTCTCACTCATTGTCTTCTCATATTTTCCCTACAATTTACCAAAACATAATCATCGTTATTACTCTAAACACTTGAAAAATAATGAAATAGCAACATGTAAGGTCTTTTTATTAAAGTAAACTGTCTGTAGGGGTAGAAATATAAAGTGCATTGTTTATATTGGTAAAAAAGGGTAAATTATGTTGCTAGTCTAAGCAATTTGGATTACAAAAAAGATAAATTTATAATTTGTTTCTTGGAAATACTGGGTACCATTAATAGCTGCCATGGATGAAGATGACACCCCAAAATTGAGTGAAGTTGCCAAGATTCTAGAAGAAACTCTAAATGTCAGATTTATCCTAATTTCTATATAAAATACTTTTTGAATATGGGTTTATTTTCTTTTTTAGTAAAAGATGTTTTTTTTAATTAACCATTAGATAAACGATGTTCCACTAAAAGTAAGAAAACTGGTAGTGAAAATATGTGATGTGGTGACAAGAAGTGATGTAAGGTTGGCTGTTGCGGGCATTATGAGATTTTTTAAAAAGATCGGTATAAATGTGACTATAGGGATTACAAGTGGAAGGGTAAAAAGTGGAAAAGTGGAAAAATATAAAGAACGGTTGTAGCAATAGAAGGTGGAGGCATCAGTGTTGCTCATAAACTGATTGGATCAGAAGGCTAAAAAACACGCATAAGGTGGATTTCATTGGAAATCAAGAAACAAGTTCACAAGAGTGACCGATTTGGCTCAATTGACACCATCAGATGCTGGGGATTAATGAACTTTGACTGTGATCACATTAACCCTACAGGAGGTTCCGGTGGACTTCTAAATTTGTGGGATGCCTCGAACCTTTGTAAATCACAAACAGTCTCAACAAGAAACTACATCGCCACAACAGGATATTAGAAGGGCTTCCCAGGTACTACCACACTTGTTAATGTATATGCACCACAAACGATCATAGATAAATGGAAATTATAGGAGGAGCTAGAAGAGCTTAAGCAGAGTTTAAATGGCATATGGGTCTTTTTAGGAGATTTTAATGTCGTCAGAGCTCCCTGTGAAAGATTAAACTCAAGTTTCTGCCAATATACAACTAACGACTTCAATAGATTTATTTCAAATACTGGTCTACATGAGTTCAATGCAGGTGGTAGAAAATATACCTTCCTACGAGATGTTGGTCTGAAGTTTAGTAAATTAGACAAATTTCTAGTTTGTCAGAACTTTGTCAACATTCAACCCCTTACTACAATGACTATTCTTCCACGAGAACATTTTGATCACTCACTGGTAATCTTGAAGCCTTCCAACATGGAGTTTGGTCGCCATCCTTTTAGACTCATGAACTCCTGGAGGCTACACAATGATTTCAATTCTGTTTTTGACTATGCTTGGAACAACTTTTGTGGTTTTGGTGCCTTTGATAGATACTTAATGGAAAAACTCAAACACTCACTAAAAGATTGGAGACCGGTAGTAGCACTGAATGAATCCGGGTCCTTAAAAACCCTTAGAAAAGTAGATAACCTGGAATTGAAGGCTGAATGTTGGTGATTTTATATCACTAATATTATTTAAGTGTAATGGGGTTAATTTGTTGATCAATGTCACTTTGACAATTATCAAACAAATTAGTATGGTGCGGAGTGCACATTTGTTTGATTTTGTCATTGTTGAAAGTATACTGCTATTTAGAGGCGAAGCCCCTGAACTGACGGGGGTCCGGGGGCAGCGTCCCTGGGAGCGGGGTCCAAGGGGCGGCAGCCCCTAGCTGGGGTCGGGCTGGACAGGAAGTTTATGACACCCGGTTTTGTGATCCATTTATAGACCCGGTTTTATGGTAGTTTATGATAGGTAATATGGCCGTTTTTGGACATAAAGTTATTTATATATAACTACCATATGGCAATTTTAAGACAGAAAGTTAGTTTTCTGTTATATATGATCAATTTCGGATTCTCTTTTTGGGTACAGATTCATAACATCTTCTTCATTCTATATTCTAGAAAAATAGTGAGTTTCATCTGATTAGAGATTTTGAGTGTACCCTCGAAATGCTTTAATCTGAAAGTGTTTCACAACTCTCACTGATCCAAGTTTATCTATACCCCGAAATTTTAACACTGAATCATGTACTCTCTCAGATTCTGAAATCTTTCAAAGGAGGGACGCTAAACTCGAAATTTGTGCACTCGAGAAAATAGAAAAACTTGATCTTCAACAAAAAGCCAAAGTCAAATGGATATGCGATGAGGATGAAAACAGCCGATTCTTTCTTGGGATTCTAAAAAACAAACATCAGAAAAACTGGATTCATGGTATACATATTAATGGAACTTGGTCTTAGGATCCAATCTCCATTAGAAAAGAGATCTTTGGCTTTTATTGCATGAAATTTCATGACCCGTGGCCTTCCAGACCTTAGCTAATCAGCTCTTTATTCAAACAACTTTCTCCCAACCAGAGTTCATTCCTTGAATAAAGCATCTCCATCAAGGAAATTAAAAGTGTTGTTTGGGGGTGTGGAGCTAAAAAAGCCCCGAGACTAGATGATTATATATTTAAACTCATAAAAAACAAATGGGGGATCATGAAGAAGATATTTTCCGATACATCAAGCACTTTGAGATGACTGGAACATTTTCACAGGGATGCAACTCATCATTTATCACTCTTGTCTCTAAAGTGAAGGATCCTATCTCCGTTACAGGCCCATTAGTCTTATTGGATGTCTACACAAAGTTGTTTCCAATTATTTTCAAATAGATTGAAAGGAGTTGTCGATTGTATTGTCGATGAAGTACAATTTGCTGACATTGAAGTTAGAAATATCCTGGACAGGCCACTTCACTACTAGAAAATAGGTAATACAATACACCCTCATCTAATATGGTTGTAATGAAAACCGTATTATAAAAGCTTAAATTAATCTAATACACACAAATGAAGAAATCTAATATTGTTAATTAGGTATACTAGATAATATTTCTAATTAAAATTTATTATTTTATAGTTATTAACAAAATTTAGCCTTTGCATCGACCAGAATGTTTAACAAAACATTGGATGTTCATTTGACGCAACGCCAAAATTGAATTGACCGTTCATTTTTATTTTTCCCATTTTGCCCCTGTAGATCGCCTTCACTCTTTTCTGGTGAAGCAGCTTACTTATCAAAGCATCGATGAACGACAACATCAACTGCGAAAATGATCACTCTCTCTCTTGATGGATCGATCGACATACTTTGTCACCTCTCTTCACTGGCGAGCACCTCTTCAAAACTCATTGTCAATCCAACTAATTCAGTGTCTCTTCATCGCCGATTCAAAATCGATTTCAGATTCGTGTATGTATCTTCACCGCCGATTCAAAATTTATTTCAGATTTAAATTCGTCGAATCTTCAATATTGAACAACCAGGTATTCTTTCTAATCAATTGTTTAATTAATGTCGCAATACATTAACAATTGATAGAACTAATTCAGTGCTCAAACTATTCATTCATTGCATATTTGGTTATTTGATTTCCGTCTATTGGAGTACATTGAGAACTGTATATGCATGAAACTTACGTTTCTTCACATGGTTCGTTCTTTGCAGCTCAAGTTCCTCACCCTCATCTCCAACCTTCATCAGAGAACCTTCCGTAACTATTTCCCATGGCATCTGCTTCATCTCTGCACATTTCAATAATGATTCTGATCTCCTCAGCTTCAAATCCCCTCTCCTTTAGCAACATTTCTTCAATTGGATTTTCCAAGAGAAAGAAATTGTTCATTCTTAACATTGTTCCTAATTTTTTGATTTTCTTAGCATCATTTTACATGACCAGTTGAAAATTTTGGGTTTTAGCTACATGTTTTCACTATGGTTTGAATATAACCTATCTTTTTATAAATTGAAATAATTAATTGAAACAAACAAACTGATGCCAAACCAAGATTGGTATGAATCTACGTATCTGGTAGATAATAATAATTGATTATATTGATTACGAACGAGAGTATTCTCATTCTAATGATTTTCAATGGATAATGAGATTTGTGTTACATTTGCCACTAACTTTGATATCCTTATCGAGTTTAATTAATATTAGAATTGTTAATATGGAGATTGTTGTTGGTAATGTGGTATAGATCCCTTGGAATTAACTTTGTTTATTTTAGTGCATAACTAAAATTTGACTGTTGATTTCAACATTCTAGAACTGAATGATGGCTATGGTTTCTTGAATAGTGCAGAAGCATCCAAAATAATCGGAGTTTTGTTCATAGAATCATGTGTTCATCAAAAGAGCCACTAGCAAAAACATGGCTCACATCAAAAGCATTTGAATCACTAAAGATTAGGTCATCAACCATCATAGTGGAAGCTCCTAAAATGTTGAAGACAACAGTTTCTTTGCCTTGTCTCAGAGTTAATTCTTGTTTAGTTAAAGCCGATGATGTTGGCATGTAAATTTTTTTACCGAACATCTATAATAAGAGAGCTTTTTGGTGGAATTTTTTGCATTATAAAACTTTAAACGAAAAAGATCATTTTATCTCCACAATAGAAACATTATTTTAGTTTGTTGTTTATGGGGCCCTTATATATGTTGTCTATTAGTTGAAAACCCATAGATCCACCAAATCATTGAAAGCTTGTTAATTAATAAGCTCTTTGAAAAAGATCATCCAATAACTTATTCAATTTTCTTGAGTTTATTTTTATTTTTATTTTATTTTAATTTTTTTTGACATGAAAAAGCTCTTATTGTGATGTTCTTATTAACTAGTTATTTGGTTTCATTTCATACCTTTTTTAGTAAATATCATGTATGCTTAATAAATTTGGAACCAGTTAAAAGGGTGAATGCTATCTTTAATTAATATACACTAACAGAGACAATGGCATGTTTAAAGAGAAATTTATTAATTTCATGAACAAAAGTTGATTTGTATTATAGCAAATTTTTTTGAAGGTATTATTCAAAGTAAATAACTGATTTTGATATTTCCATTTCTACACTATAATTAAAAGTATTACTTTGATGGAAGATCATAGACACATCCTGAAGATTATAGTTTTTGATTAAAGTAAATAACTAAGAATACTCATTTGATATATAAGAAATAAGGAATATTATTACCACAACCATAGCAGGTCACCGATGTTATCTTGTTTAATGCACCTTGTGTGCAAGATTTTATTAAGGCATTGTATTTTTTTTCAAATTTATTATATATACTATCGTACTTTCAACTTTTCTTTTTGTTTTTTAGACATTATTCTTTGAAAATTTTATCAACTACTTCGTAATTTGTAGAGATTGATCCTTCGGTCACAACTCACACAGGAGGAACAATGAGTTTTTTACATCATTATAAATGGTGATAACATGTTTCAAGAGATTGATATTGTCAAAATGAGTGGAGATATTAATAGTGCTCTTGTGCTAACAGTCCATGTTAGCGGGAGGAGTTTGACAATAATTTTGCAGTTGGAATGGTGATCCATGTGTTTCACAGCAGCATCCATCGAGTGGAATTGGGTGATGAATAAGGTTGGAATGCACATCCGGAATGGGTTGGAATGCAATCAGGAATGGATTGCAGGAATGAGGGATGTGACATCAAGTACGGTTGTTTATGGTGTATTAGATGCTAATATCTGGTGTAATAGATTCTTTTATGCGATGGTTGCAAAAAGTAGATTGGATACATATAGAGTACGGTTAAATAGCCGTACTCTATTAGGCATGTAATCTAATACACCCCTCTATTAATACAGGCTTAAACTACGTACTATATTTATATTTTCAACCGTATTATATTACACTTTTTCTAGTAGTGTTTGTGATGCACGAATTATTTACTTTGGCAAAGAAAACAAAAAGTCAACTTATTTCTTTAAAGTTGACTTTGAAAAAGCTTTTGATTCAATAAATTAGGGATATCTAGACTCAATAATGGAACAGATGGTGTGTAGCGGAAAATGGAGGCATTGGATATACGACTGTCTTTCTAGCTCTAGAGCTAGTAAATGGGTCACCTACAGAAGAATTCCAAATCACTAAGGGTGTCAGACAAGGTGACCCACTATCGCCATTCCTATTCATCCTGGCTATGGAAGGATTAAATGTGGCAATGAAAGGAGCAAGAGATAGAAATTTGATTCACGGAATCAAACTCCCTCATTCCGGACCTGAGATATCTCATCTATTCTATGCTGATGATGCCATATTTTTAGGAGAATGGAATCACTGCAACCTCAGGAGCCTCTCGAGAATACTAAAATGCTTCCAAATATCTTTGGGTTCAAAAGTTAACTTCCAAAAATCCAGACTCTTTGGAATTTGTACCACCGATTCTGAATTACAATGTATGGCCAGAACCCTTGGTTGTCAGAAGAGCTCATTCCTATTCACATATCTTGGGGTACCCGTCGGCACCATCATGTTACCAAAAAAACACTGGGACCCGATAATTAAAAAATTCCAATCCAAGCTCTTTAACTGGAAGGAAAACACATTTTCATTTGGTGGTAGATTTACACTGATCAAATCAGTTTTGGGAAGCCTACCTACTTATTACCTATCCTTATTCAAGGCACCTCAAGGAATTTTAGACACCTTGGAAAAAAATAAGATGAAGATTTCTTTGGGGAGGCAACGAAGATTAGTGTCGGTCCAAGACGATTTGAGGCCCGGGGCAAAATAAAATGTTAGGCCCTTCACTGCCGCACCTCAGAAAATTTTGTTAAATTTAAAAACTTAATACACTATTTTTAAATTGTCTTTGATCCTTTACAAACTTCGTTTTTATAGTTTTCATTTTTATTAATATAATTTCTTAATTATTATTTACTCCCTCATACATAATTGTTTGAACCGAAACTTTATTTTTATAAATTGTAGTCCACTTTGCAAATGAGTTCTCCTTTGCATCGCGTGTTGTATTAAATACTAATCGTATGAAAGATAAAGTTAATACGATAAAACAAAATAAAATAAAAAATATCGTAAAAATCACCTTATAGAATAAAACCTAAACCTAGCATAATCTAATTGATTAAATCAACCACACGCAAAGGCTCACAAAAAAAATAATGTTTTGTTAATGAATCAGAATTTAATTTCCTTTCGGAAGCTGTCGACATGAACTAATAATATTCCCTTCATTATTTTTTATGATCTTTCCATTTGAATTTGTATAACATAATAGGAAATTTTGTTGTTGAATTGAAAGTTTTAAGAGGGCACTTTTGAGAAAAAAAAATAAAAAAAAAAGATATGTTTACACACATAGAATTTCAACAATAGCAATGTTTGATGTGGGTGATTTCTTCCATGTTTTTTAGAGGGGCCTTAACATTTAGTAATATATATATATATATATATATATATATATATATATATATATATATATATATATAAAGGACCTCTTTTGGGAGCAGTGAGGTTCGAACACGGATCAACAACCACAACCATTCCTGCGCTTCAAACCAAATGAACTACAAGCATCTTTCGTTATTTTTGGGATGCGTGTAGTATTTATCATTTTAAAAATATATATAATATTAATCCCTATTTGGGGCCCCGAGATTTGGCGAGGCCCGGGGCGGTTGCCCAGCTTGCCCACCCTCTAGGGCCGGCCCTGACGAAGATAAACGGAAAATACATTGGGTCGATTGGTCAAATGTTGTATCAGATAAAAAATTTGGAGGGCTTGGAGTGGGTACTTTGCAAGCTCAGAATACTACACTCATAGTCAAGTGGTGGTGGAGATTAAAAAAGGAACACGGTCGGTTATGGGTAGATGTTATTGAAAGTATCCATAATCTTCGAAAACAGGCTGCCAACTATCTGTCATGGAAAGGAGCTACTAGCATGTGGAGCAACATATTCAAATTAGTGAAGTGTCTGAATGATCACAACATTGATCTCAATTGCCTTTTTTCGCTCATCCGAAGATCCAACACTAAAATCCTTTTCTGGAAAGACATTTGGTGTAGTGACACTACACTTCAATCCCGATTTCCCAACCTATACAAGTTAGAAAATGTGAAAAGAAAATGCATAGTTATGGATCGAATTTGCAGTACTGTTTTTGCATGGAATTGGAATGACAACTCAACCATTGAAAACTACAAATTGGAAGTAAATGAATTTTACTCCTTATTTGGATCAATCAAGTTCATTCTATATTCAAAATTTGGATTCCAACTGAATCTTCACACAGACTGGTTGTATAGGTTAATATATTGAGGTGACTGATAGACTCAAAACATATTCAATCCATTGGACCCGTTATCAATTGGTCAAAACTTATACCACACAAAAAACCAATGTTTCATCTGGAGAGCAGTTCTAGAAAGATTCCCAGTGGGAGACATATTAGCACACATGGGTATTATCGTCTCACACCCAAATTGTCACTTGTGTGAAACGGATTTTGAATCCACAAATCATCTTTTGGTGGAGTGTAATTTTTCAAAAACAGTATTCAAGTGGATTTCTCGGTGGTGCGGTTTTCAAAACACCCATTTTACAAAAGTATGGGACGTCATTGAGTTTAGGTCTGGCAATCGTGTCGTGTTCGGGTTGGCGTGTCGCGGGTTGGCGGGTCAAAATATGTCAACCCAAACATGACCCATTTAAATATACAGGTCACGGGTTGGCGGGTCACGGTTTGGCGGGTTTGGAACATAAACCCACATATGATCCACAAACCCATTTATTTATACGAGTTCACAAGTTGGCGGGTTCGTGGGTCAGATTTGGGTTCGTGGGTCTAAATTTTAGATATTTAAGTCTTAAACATCCAAATAAAAATTAAAAACATTCATAGAAACATGTTACAGACTTAGCCTTATAGGTTACGACTTATAACCTTAGACCATTCACCACGAGTAATAATGTCAAAACAATCAAATGGTCTATAAATAAATTGTATATATTATATAACACTTATTAATATTAATACTTGACACATAAATACATTTAAAAATATAATAATTTTTTTTTGTTAAGAATATAAACGGGTTGGTGGGTCAACCCATTTATTTTTTAAGAAACCCATATATGACCCGTTTAATAAACGGGTTGACAGGTTACCGGGTTGGCGGGTTGAAAAACTCAACCCAAAACCCATTTATTTCGTGTCGTGTCGCGTGTCGTGTCGAGAATTGTTAGCCCTAATTGAGTTTGCTAAGAACCGGGGAAATTGCTTTAATCAAAGACAAATCATCAATGTGATTTTATACTCCACATTTTGGAACATATGGTTGACACGTAATGACAAAATCTTCAAGAACATCAAAGTATCACAAAGTAAAACAGCGGACCAAATCATAACAAAATCGTATGATTGGTGTAGGTACAGGGGCAAATTCGAAAAAAGCTGGGAGGAATGGTATTGTTCCCCTTTCTAATGCTTCTATGTTAATTTCTACTTTCTTTTACTACTTCCTTTGTTGTAATGACTATTATATTTCCCTCTTTAGCATCTTGCTATTGTTTGGGTACTTTTAATGATTATTCGCCTTTTCTAAGAAAAGATTATATTTAAGCTACACGATTTTTAAGGTGATTATATATACAAGGTTTTAAAAATCGGTTGAGGCATACAACTCAAGGCGTGCCTCAAATTAAAGTGGTTAAAAAACACTTATATGTGTCGCCTCATAGGGGGAGAATGGGACATATACCTTAGTAAGTGAGGCAACAAAAATCGGACAAAACGAGTCAAAGTGAATCGAATCGTATAAGGCGTCCATTTTTTTTTTTTTTGACTGTTTGACCATATATACCATTAGAAAATAACGGGACATCTTTATCTTCCCTAATTTCTTCCAGCCGATTTTTACTCCTCCTTTTCTTATTTTTCTTTCTCCCCTGTTAACAAAATTGAACCTTTTATTCAATTCGGGGTTTCTAATTGAAGTTTTTCTCCACTTGTGAATTTAAAATCTAGTTGTTGATCACTCTCCTCCCGTTGCTTACTTTTTCAGTTGTTGATTTCCTTCAAATCAAAGGTAAGAACTAAGAAACGATCTTGTGCGGCATTTTAACATATGATTTCTTGACTAGTAACTAGATATACACTTATCTTGTGCAACATTGCTGATTTGCTTTACACTTGACTTTGCAGTATGTTTTTTTTTCTACATGTAATTTTTTGTTGTCTCATTTCACTACAGATTATTTGTTAAGTTCCTGGACCTAGAATGGCGTCTAAAGGAGCACGGAAAGATCCATTATGGAGACATAGTGAAGAGATAGAAGTACCCATCGTGGCAAAATCACCTACAAATACCTCAAGTGCAAATTTTATACCAAGTTCATCAAGGTTGTATGTGTGTGTGTGTGTTGAGGGGTGGGTGTGTGTGTGTGTGGGTGGGGGGGGGGGGGGGGTTAAAACGAATGAAGGAAAATCTTACTTGATCACCCAAAGATGTTGCATCTCCTGTAAACATGCTCACTGAAGTAAAAGAAGAACTACACTAATATCTAAAAGCATTTCAAGATATAAAATTCGCTAATCAGTGAAATTTTGAGGACAATATAGGGTGTGGATGATACTATATGAGAAATAGCAGTACTAATGGTGCTACTACAGGTGCAAATTATTGTGGTAGTGTTAGCACTAGAGATGTTAGAGGCCCGATAGATCGATATATGGAGATTCCTAATGATGATGATCTAGGCACATTACCAGTTGAGAAGACGACACCGGAGAAGAACACTGCAATAGAGTTTTCTTGGATATTGGGCAGTACTTTTATGAGCCTGGGATGTCATTTAATATTGCGTCGAGTCTGACAATTATAAATATGGTGCCTTCAATTGGTAATTATAGGCATCACTTAAAACCTCCTTCAACACACGAGTTGAGGACTTGGATTTTAAACGAAGGAGTCAACACAACCACTAGATTTGTCGATGACATAGAAGCTACTTGGAAGCAAACAGGGGTTTCATTGGTATTAGATGGCTAGTCTGATATTAAACAGAAGCCTTATCAACTTTCTTGTGAGCAATCAATATGGTAAAGTATTTCTGAAAACTGTTAACGCGTCTGATTGCATAAAAAATGCACAGAAGTTGTTCGAGTTACATCATGATGTTGAGGAAGTCATTGAAGATATTGTCATTCAAGTGATCACAGATAATGTAAGTGCATACATAGCCGCCGATACCTTATTGATGGAAAGCCAAAAACATTTATATTGGACTTCGCGTGCTACACATTGCACCGATTTGATGCTTGAGAAGATTGGGGGTTGCCAAAATTACAAAAAATGCTTTACCTAAGGCCAAAAAAGTGAGTTATTTTATTCATAACCATCAGTGGGTTTTTACCATAGGAAAAAAGTTTTCAAAGAAAGATCTTCTTCGGCCGGCGACCACCCGATTTCCAAGTGTCTTTTTAACATTAGTGTTGGGCTTATAGTGTTGCGGCATGGGCTCGGTTATTAGCCCAGTTTTGGTATCCGGTTTGGGCTTGTCCAACTGTGATTGTTTTTATTCTAGGGTTTTAGTATTTAAGGTGCATGCATGCATCCTTAGTAAGTAACGCTTTCATAATTTTCTTATCATAAGTATTGTAAACCCTAGCTCGCCTCTATAGTGGAAATTTTTTATCGAGCTCTGCTGAGGCGTGACTATATTTGAATCATAAACTTCATATTGATTCCATATTGTGTTCTTAATTGTATT